TGGGACCCCTCGGGGGATGTCGGAGAGCCAGTTTTAGCCCGATCCCGCAGGCCAGGCTGAGGGACCCCACGGGTGCACGAATTTGTGCACCGGGCCTCTAGTTTTTAAATAAGATAAAATAAATCAAGACAGACAATGGAGAGATAGTCTCCCATTGTGCACCTCAGGATTCCGACCTGCGTACCCCAGGATTCTGATACTATGAATGGGCTGATGAGATTTTCCAGGAAAAAACATTTAAAATCACACGTGATACAGCCAACAAGGGGTTAATACCCAAACTGTGTAAAGAGCTCCTCCAGCTCCACATCAAAACAGCAAACAACCCAATTAAAACCGGGAAGAGGGTCTGGATAGACATGTCTCACAGAAAACATGCAGATGGCCAGCAGGCACATGGGAGGATGCTCCACACCCTGGTCCTCGGGGAAATGCAGATCAAACCATAACGAGGCGCCCTCGCACCTGTCAGGAGGCCGTCTTCAGGACGAACAGCGTGGGCACGGGAGGAGGCAGAGAGAGGGAGCCCTCGCGCCCTGTCAGTGGGAACGCAGATGGTGCAGCCACTGTGGGAAACAGTAAGGCGCTTCCTCAAAAAATTAAAAATAGAACGGCCACATGACCCAGCAATTCCACCTCTGGTATTTATCCAAGGAAAACGAAAATCACGAATTCGAAAAGGTGCGTGCACCTCTATGCTCACTGCAGCGTTATTCACAAGGCGGATGCAACTAAGTGTCCGCCAACAGACAACAACGGGGTGAAGACGTGGGGGTGCGTGTATACGGGGGAAGATTAGCCATAAAAAAAGAATGAAATCTTATTGCTGTGACGACATGGACGGGCCTGGCGGGCAGCATGCTGAGCAGAATAAGGAACACGGGGAAAGACAAAAGTGTGATCTCACTTACGTGTGGACGCTAATGAACAAATGAAGGAACCAACAAATCAGAAACAAACTCACAGACACAGAGAACACACTGATGGGAGGGGGCGGGGCGGGCAGAAAAGGGGAAGGGACTGAAAAGTATGAACTTCAGGTGTAAAATGCGTCCAGCGATATAAAGCCCAGCACAGGAAAGAGAGTCAACAATATGGTACTAACTGTGTACGTGACAGACGGCCACAGACTTAGTGGTGACCACGTGGTGAGGTGCATGAATGCTGACTCACTGTGTTCTACACCTGAAAATAATATGATTGTATGTTAGCTACAATGCTTAACAAAACGGTAAATTCATGGGAAAGTATAAATGATCAAAATTGACTCAGAGAATATAGGAGGCCTAAAAAGGCAAACAGCCCTAGCTGGTGTGGCTCAATGGATAGAGCGTTGGCCTGCAGACTGAAGAGTTCCAGGTTCGATTCCGGTCAAGGGCACATGCCTGGGTTGCGGGCTCGATCCCCAGTAGGTGGCGTGCAGGAGGCAGTCGATCAATGACTCTCTCTCATCATGGATGTTTCTATCTCTCTCCCTCTCCCTTCCTCTCTGAAATCAATAACATATATTTTAAAATAAAATAAAACCACACGTCAGATCTCAAGCGAAAGGATCAGGGTCAAAGAGCTGACGGTCCCACCAGCCGTTCGGGCAGAACTCCAAAATTCCGTAAGTGTTTCATGTTCTCTTCTCTCTCTTAATAGACAGTAAAAGCGAGTATTCCTTGTCAAGAAGAAATCATTGTGAGAAATACAAATGAAAGAGGGGGACGTCGTGGAAAAATAGAAACACAAAAAGAGCATTAAATATGGTGTGAGTAGAGTTCTTAATTTCCTTGTGTTTTCACTGATTCCTACAGGACTTCGACAAAACATTTTCCGTATTCTTCATGATGTCACAATGGGCGTAAATAGCATTATTTTTTACCCAAGTGATGCATAAGGTGACTAATCCAGTTAAAATTTGATCCTAAAGGTAACTAATGAATTACTTTTGATTTTTTAAAAATATTTTGTATTGATTTTTTACAGAGAGGAAGGGAGAGGGATAGAGTTAGAAACATCGATCAGCTGCCTCCTGCACACCCTCTACTGGGGATGTGCCCGCAACCAAGGTACATGCCCTTGACGGGAATCGAACCTGGGACCCTTCAGTCTGCAGGCTGACGCTCCATCTGCTGAGCCAAACCGGTTAGGGCTACTTCTGATTTTTAAAGATTAAAACATTTCTATGAACTCAGGTTAATATAAGAAAAGGAGGGAAACATTCACACTGAGTTGTGTTTAGAGATTTTAGACTCTGAAAATAAATACACTCCGTCGTAGCTTTTAAGACTAAGATCCTACTTGCCTTTGAACAGTCTCCTTAAACACCCACCTCAGGCCACGTGCGTGGGACTACTTGGGCCTCAGCCCCACCCATTGGACAGCCTGTCCCCTGAGCTAATCGCTAGTCCCCCGCTCAGTGGTCGAAAGAACGTCTTCATCATCAAAACCTAATAAAAGCCCAGAAGTACTGGGCCGGCAAAGGGTGCCCTTGACAGGGCAAGCGGCTGGTATAAAATGTTTCTGGTGCCAAGACAGGGTTTGTGAGTTGAGTTGAAAGGACACAGAAGGGAGTGTTAAGAAGAATAAAACGGGTTTTTTAAAATTCTTGACTCTGCCCTGGCCGGTGTGTCTCAGTGGATAGGGCGTCGGCCTGCAAACTGAAGGGTCTTGGGTTCGATTCCAGGTCAGGGCATGTGCCCGGGTTACAGGCTCGATCCCCAGTGTGGGACGTGCAAGAGGCAGCCGATCCATGATTCTCTCTCATCATTGATGCTTCCATCTCTCTCTCCCTTTCCCTTCCTCTCTGAAATCAATAAAAATATATTCAAAACAAAACAGTGTGGTTTGTGCTGAAATCCTGCTTTCC